AGAGACGCGGCCCCAGCCCGCTCCGCTTCCCTTGCCCCGGCCCCAGCCATGTCGCTCGGGTTGGGGAAAGGACCGCCCCGGCTCTCACCAGCGGCGGGAAGCAGAGCGCCGCGGCTGGGAGCTGGCAGAGTAGAGCGGGCTGGGGCCGGGCTGCTCCGCTTCCCGCCGCTGCTGGTGAGTGGGGGGATCCCTTCCCCCAAGCCCCCTCCCCCAAGCAACACGGCTGGGGCCGAGATGAGGGAAGCGAACCGGGCTGCTCCCAGCCCCCTGCTAATCCCCCGGCCCCCGGGCCACAGCTCCTGCCTCCCAGACCCTGGGGGGGGAGGCCTGGGGCCCTACGCAGTCCCCCCCACCCCCCGCGGGGGGGAGGGGGGGCTATGTAGAGCACCCAAATGGCTAGGGACAGCCCTGGGTTTATATTTAGCTGAAGAGTCACACTGCTTACAAAAACTTCAGTGAAAGAGGGTGCTCTCTCTCTGATCAAACATAATTGGTGTACTCTGCTGCTGGACTGAAATAAATAAAAATGCACAAGTCCTAGGGAAAGCGCTGAGAACAGACAAGGAGAAATCTTGCCCTACCCAGCGCTGAACTAGATGAGACCCCTGCAGCATGTCTTATTTCGCCTCACTTTTTTTTCCTGTGATCCCCTGGTCACTAAGTACATTTAGGGCTGGATTTTCAAAGGAGCTCAGCTCCCCTTTAGGCACTTAAATGGGCCAGTCAGAAGTTCTGTAGGTGGGAGCTGAATTCCTTTGAGAATTTGGCCCTTCAAGTGCAGTTCTGCAAAGTGATTCTATCTAGATGGCAGCATGGGATTTCTCAACATGCAGGTGACCGAAGCTGCTGCATGTCCTGTATAATGCAGCCCACAGAATTGTGCAGGGCGGCACGTGGCTGGTCTCATCTCTAAGGCCACGGGGATTGAGATGGAGCATTGCATGCTGGAATCTGTCAGCAAAACAAGTTGTACCTCTGTATTAAAGAGGAGAGGTGGCTGCAGTCTGCTCCATTGAATGCCAAGTAGGTGCATCAGTCAGGTTCCTGGAGTGTTGTCAGCAGGGCCCTCAATTGGACAAAGTTTGAAATACCTCATGTTTAATTAAAGTTTTCCCAGGTCCCTTTTGATTCAACAGATACCTAGTGACCTGGTGCAGAGTTGCAGTTTCTCTAAGAGTGTATATAAGAAAATTAGACACAGAAGCTCTGCACACTCACTAGACGTGACCTGACGTAGCTTCAAACAAAACATTCACTAGCAAGCATCTGTCATCTTCTCACAGGCCTACCAAGGAGCTCAGGTTGGATGTGCATTCAAGACCAATTTTTATTTCCTGTAACGTTTCTGTATTGCCACAAGCTCTGTATCCTCATTGCCTTAGATGTATGTCAGTCAAAATATTACAGATGTTAGTACATTCACATATACACCTCTACCTCAATATAACGCTGTCCTCGGGAGCCAAAAAATCTTACCGCGTTATAGGTGAAACCGCGTTGTATCGAACTTGCTTTGATCCACCGGAGTGCGCAGCCCCGCCCCCCGGGAGCACTGCTTTACCCTATTATATCCGAATTCGTGTTATATCAGGGTTGAGGTGTATTCAATAGTTACACATGTGTCACATTATAAAACACAGGTAAAGATGTGCTATTAATACTGAACCTAATAAAAGATAAGTGACAGCAGTGTCATTTGGAAAAGGTTTTTAAAAGTGCTAATGGCTTTAGAAATGTCCTGCTTTTGTCTCCTAAGACAGTGGCTCTCAACCTTTCCAGACGACTGTACCCCATTCAGGAGTCTGATTTGTCTTATGTACCCCAAGTTCCACCTCACTTAAAAACTACTTGCTTACAAAATCAGACATAAAAATACAAAAGTGTCACAGCACACTAGTACTGAACAATGGCTGACTTTCTCATTTTTACCATATAATTATAAAACAGATCAATTGGAATTAAACTATTGTACTTAGATGTTTCAGTGTATAGTATATAGAGCAGTATAAACAAGTCATTGGCTGATGACATTTTATTTTTTATTGACTTTGCTAGTGCTTGTTATGTAGCCTGTTCTAAAACTAGGCCAATAGCTAGTTGAGTTGATGTACCCCCTTGAAGACCTGTGTGTATCCCCGGGGGGGGGGTGTACCCCTGGTTGTGAACCACTGCTGTAAGGGAGCAAAGGCACCGTTGGGTGGAGGTTCCAGGGCACTGGGTGGGAGGCAGAAGATATGGGCCTGTTCCCAACTCTGCTTATGATTCAGTGTGTGTAACCTGGGAGGTGTCACTTGACCTCCTGGTGCCAGGGTTTTCTCAGCTGTAAAAGGGGCACGAATGACTCTGTGTTGAAAAATGCTTTGAGCCCAATGGATGAAGGTGAGGAGTGTTCCCATTGGAGGGAAGCAGGGCTGAAACAGACCCGGAAGGATTTCTGCAGAGACTCAACAGGAGCAGGGCTGGCTCCAGGCACCAGCCTGGCAAGCAGGTGCTTGGGGCGGCCGCTCCGGAGAGCACGGCACGTCCAGGTATTCGGCGGCAATTTGGCGGACGGTCCCTCACTCCCGCTCGGAGCAAAGGACCTCCCGCCAAATTGCCGCCGCCGATCGCGATCGCGGCTTTTTTTTTTTTTGGCTGCTTGGGGCGGCCAAAACCCTGGAGCCGGCCCTGAACAGGAGGGTGTAGGACAGGGCAGGAGACGGGAATGCACCAGGCAGACTATCAGAAAGCTCAGGATATGTTGCAGCAGACTGCAGATGGCGGACGGATGTTCAAGATGGGCCTCAAGGGCTGGTGCAGTTTGGGGACTGCCACTTCCATGGAGAGTTGGGGAGATGGTAGGGCATTGGCTGGCATGCTCATTTGCATGGAATTGCCCAGAATGCCCCTTGTTATTTCACTGCACAGCTAGTGGGAGAACAGCCTGGATGGTTTGAGTGCCGAGACCGTGCTCCGCAGGCCAGAATTGTGGCCAGGCCTCAAGTCTGGGTTTACAGGACTGTTGTGTGACCCTGCAGCTGTCAAGGCTGGCCGGGGAAGGGGTCCCAGTGACCAGGAAGCTGTGTTTGACACAGGGTGTCTTGTTCGCTCAGGCTTTGGGTGCCTGTTTAAAAGCTGAATTTCTGCATTCCAATTGCTTAAGGGGACACAGGGGTCTCTCCCCACCAGAACAGGGTGGCAGCAGGGCTGCCCAGAGGATTCAGGGGACCTGGGGCAAAGCAACTCTTCCATAAAAAAAGTTGCAATACTATATTCTCGTGGGGGTCCCTGTGGGGCCCGGGGCCTGGGGCAAATTGCCCCACTTGTCCCCCCCCCCGGGTGGCCTTGGGTGGCAGCAGACCTTTGCTAGGTGGATCCATGCAATAAGGGCTGATAACAGTCCCTTATTTTTTCATCTTGGTACAACAAGACTGAGAGTTGCTGAGTGCTGCAAAAAGCAGCAAGAAACACCCCTGATGATAGTGAATGGAGGTGAGTCCTGTTAATAATTAATTATAACACTAATATCAGAGGAGAGAAAGGGCAGGGGTGCTAAGAAAACAGTCCCTTATTTTTGAAATACAACGTTGGTAACCCTTTCTCCAGGCTTTTGGAGTTGGTTTTGCATCTGTCTGCTAGCTGGTCAGGAGGCATTTGCTGAGGGGTCTGGGGGATTTGCAGTCTCTGTTGAGTCAAGGGAGCTGGTGCTCGAAATGGCATTCCCTGCCTAATACACTAGCACTCAAGTGCTTTTCAAACCCAGACTTGTGTGTGATCCATTTCCTAGAGACGGGCTGGAACCAGAACCCCAGTTCCAAACACTCTGGGAAAGTTCTGATTCGGGCCTAAACTTTACTCCCTGACTCCAACTCCTAACACACGGGGATTGCGCTGCCTGTTTTCTATGAACAGGACATGATGATCTGGGGGGCAGTGGGAAGACGTGCTCCTGTAAGTTGGCCTTCATTTCTCCTCCCTCCACCCCCCAGGCCCTGGCCGTCAGTTCTGACTCTGGAGCCTGTCAGCGGTGCTGCAGTGCTGGCTGGTTGTGGGAGATGGGGGCTCAGAGGCGCTGATTGTCATTACAAGTGCATTGCAACACACTGGAAGGCTGGGAGGTGGAGGAAAGACCTGGCCTGGCCTGCTGTGAGGGGGTTGCAAGATTCTCTTTGCAGCATTCAGCGCAGTGACAGGAAATAAAGGCTAGGTTCTGCTCTTGGTTCTCAGATCCCCTCTGTCTGTGATGAGAAAGTTTCACTCCCTTAGGACACTGGTGGGCTGCTTCATTGTCTCTCTAGCACAAACAGTCCTGGCAAGAGGGGTCAGAGGTTGAGCACCAGGCAGAGGGCCAGGCAGAGCAGCTGGCTCGGGGCGGGACGTGCTGCGGCATTGGGGCTGGAGCGTATTCCACGCTGGAGCATACAGCTGTGAGTTGTGCTGGGCGCTGCACAGAAGAACAGGCCCCTGCACTCAGGAGCGGGGGAGCTAAGCGCCAGCTATTGCGGGTTGTGGTGATGAGGGCTTTTCTCGCCAGCAACCTCAGGGCTGGGGGGAGGGGGCCCTTGGTGCAGGATGGGGAGAGGGTCTGAGAGCAGCGCAGGCCCAAGGAAGAGTGGTGCCTTCCCGTTAATGAAGGGAACTCTCCATGTTCCTCTGCCCCACTCTCCGGGGCTCTGGGGTCAGGGAGAGGGTTGGCCTGAGAACAGGTCATCAGCCACCTTCGAAATTCCCTTGCTCTGGCTGCTTCTTCCAGGCCCCATTTGCTTGTGACATCACAGCCGTCACCACAATAACCAGTCGTGACATCACTAACAGAGGAGGAAGCGGCCATTGTGCATGACACTGCTGGCCTGGTGTCCAGGCGCGGGAGAACCCAGCAGCCGAGGGGGAGGGGGAGGAGACTCACGGCTGACCGAGAAGTGGAGCTGGCTTAGCTCCCAGCATGAAGATGCCACCTCTGCTCTCCTGCTTTCACCCCTTTCCCAGCAGGTGGAACCCAGCTGCTTCTGAGCTCTCTGGCGCAGGGCAAGAACGCTGTGGGGCAGCCTGTGGGAGGCTCAGCTCCCCCTCCCTTGGGTTGCCTGTTGTTCCCTGAGGAATAGTTGTTCAATCGTTGATTGTGATTTGTAAGGAGCCCAGTCGTACACAGGGCAAGGGGCACGTGGAAGGACTCTGGGAGCAGCACTGCCAGGGTTCCAGCGGCGGGAGTTCTCCAGGTGTTCCTAGCTGTGCAATACCTTTGCTACCGTTCCACGCACACGACGCGTGCTGGGAATGCTCTGTGGACCCAGTCCATTGACAGCAAAGCACTAGCTGAAAAATAAGGGACAAACAAGTGAGTTAATGTGTAACAGTTGTACCAAGCAGGGATTAATCAGCCCTGGCCTTGGCTCTTGTGGAGAGCAATCCTCCTAGCTCTGAATCAGAGACACAGACCCTTGTCCAATGGCCCCACAGCCCCGCCAGACACCTGCAGGGCCTCAGCGCTCACGCAGCTCAGCGCCGGGGGCACAGAACATCTGAGCAAGTCCCATGTGCCCCAGCGCCCGCTTCTTCGTAGTGGGGCTTGTCCCAGGGAACATGCACCAAACTGGAAGGCGAGGCCCCAGAGTCCGGTGGGTTTGTGTGTCTGAGGGTGGGGAAGGCCCATGTCTGCCCCAAGGCACAGACGCTTTACCAAGGTCAGGGCTTGGCCTTGCTTTCGAGATGTTGGTCAAACCGCACATGCGCCTTAGGTTGGGCAGTCCCATGGGAGAAGCAGGGGAGTCTGCCTCATGCAGCACCTGCCTTGACCTCTCAGGGGCTGGGACATTCGCTGGGGCAACAGGCCTGGCCTGAGACCTGGTGGTCTGCATAAGGAGCTGCGATGCTTTCCCCATCTGTCAAACGGCAGCACTGGACTCTGGGGGGCCGGTGGAGCACCGGTATGTGAGTGCAGCACAGTGGCCGTGTGAGTGTATGTCATGGAACCCAGGGGCTGGATCGGGGCAGTTTGGTGCCCAGGGCAGGAAGGGACTCGGTGATCGGACTGATCACAGATGTCGAAGGTCAGGATTGGTTGGAGGGTGTATGGTGCTGTGGGCTGAACAAGAACAGAGCCAGTGTCAGAGCCCATTGAGCCGCAGAGCGTCTCCAGCTGCTGGAGGCCATGATGTCCCTGTCCCTGGGCTGACAGCGTCGTTTGCGAGGTGGGTTTTGTGGGATCGGAGTTGGAGCTTTCTATAAAAACGAGCCCTGGGAGCTCCCTGCTCTTGGCTGAGAGATGGTTTATGGCAGCTGCATTCAGGGGATCCAGGCCTGGCGCACGGGGCCCGCAGTGATGGGCCCCTCTCTCAGGCTCCTTTGTGCTCGCTCAGGGACACATGCAGGGTTCTGTGCTCTTTGCTTTACCACTAGGGCTGCTCCTTCCTGCTCTAGTATCGACTCCTCTCTCCTGGGGGCTACTTCAGCCCCAAAGCCCTGACGGCCCAGGCAGGATTCCCTTTCCCCAGGAGCAGCAAGGTCCGGTCAGTTCTCCTGGCCAAAGTGCCCCTCGGTGACGTTACCTGGGTCTCCCCCAGCTCTAGGCTCAGGACGGTGTCATGCTGCGTGCTCCTACGTCCCATCCCAGAGGTGGTTGCATTTCAGTGGCAAGAGTCTATCCCCAGTCTATGCCCTGTCTGAGGGCTCCCCAGAAACCTCAATGTATTAGGATGGTTCCTCTTTTAAGAACAGACGGAAAGCCATATGGAAAGCAGTTTACTTTGCAGACTCCCAACTGGCTGGGAGAGACGCCACTTCCTCCCGGCGCTGTGCCAGCTGACAGTGGGTCTGCAGAGATTATCCAGGAGGACAGTCCAGGAATTGGTTCCCACGTAAGGGCCAATGCCCAGGAGATGAGAGTGGGCCAGAGTAGCTGCCCAGAATACGGCAAACGGAAGGTGCGGAAAATACCTGCCGGGGAGTGGAGGAGACGTGTTAGAAAAGTCCTTGCTGTTCGGCTCCTCCCTGCACAGGAGGGAACGATCCTGCCTCCGACCCCAGGGTAGGTGGTGGACTAGCTGGTTATGGCTTTTCCATTTCCTGTGTCTGTGGTTCGGCTGTTGTACACCGCTCACAGGTGGGGGGCATTAGCAGCAGCATCCTTTGCCCCATCTCTGGCCTCTGAGAATCTCAACGGGCTTTACAAACATCAGTGCGTTGAGCCTCGCGCTCTCCCTCCTGCCCCCATCCTCGTCCCTGAGGTCCTGTTGCCAGGGGAAGTACTGAACTCACGAGCCCCTGGGAGTCTTTAGAGCAAGAGGGGGTTGCTGTAACAGCTGTGCTCTGGTTGGACCACAGGTTACTGGGCTCAGTCATGTCCCACGGGAGGGAAGTATAGTTGCCTCTACTGCAAGGGTCCCTGGGTGGGGCTAGCGAGGCACAATGGTCCATTCTGACCTTCATGTCCATGGGCCTTGTCTCTCATGCTTCCACCATCTTCACACCATCTGTGACGGTGCAGGTCCCTCTGGATTTATGCCAGAGCAGGCAAAAGCAGAATGAGGCCCCATGAGCTGGGAAAGCAGAGGTATGGAGGGGTCAGTGACAGCCATAAATGGGATGCTATTCTCTGAATGTTCCCTGCCTTCCGCACACGGCGAGCCAGTCCCTGGGGAGGCCAAGTTCTCAGAAATCCATCACCGTCTGCCCAATGTGTGGACCGGATTCGCCTGCCTGGACTCTGCTCGCTGTGCTGACGCAGGCGAAGGCTGGGAGGGCACCGCGCTAACTGCTGCCAGCCAACACTAGCTCCTCGCTCCCCAGCACTTAGTCCCCCCAAAGTTCCTGGCTGGCCGGGAGCACTTTAGATTAAATATTTGCCCAGAGGACGCGGACAGACTCTCTGACGGAGGGGATGTTGCAGCAAGTGCAGAAGCTGGGAGCGTTTCCCAGAGCCCACATTGCTGATTGTGTGATTGGACGCTAACCAGAGCCCTGGGAATCTCAGGGAACACGCTGTCCCAAAGCCAGCGATCTGGCTGTTGTGGTTAGTGGATCAAAGGTTGGCGAGAGGCACTGGGGCTGCAGTGAGGTTTTGTTGTAACTTGTTACGTATTGAAACTCTCTGGAGCAAGAGGAGCTGGCGGTTCTCATGTGGTTGGTTTTTTTCTCCCTGTTTATTATTGTTTCAGATGCCATGGATTGGGAACTGTGGGTGCTTTATAAATAGACTGAAGGTTAGTCCTGCTTTCCTGGCCTACGTCAAGGGCTCTGCATCTGCCGCCCGAAGGCTGCTTCACAGCCTCCTGCAGCCATCGCTCCTTGGCCCACGAGCCCTGCGCAGCGGCCTATAAACACTGTAGCGCTGCGAGAGGATGGAGCCAGCAGCTGAGGAACCGGCATCACTGGAGATGCTCAAAGCTGGGACAAGGCAGCGCTCACCCACCAATGGTAGTTTAGTACTGATGAAATCAATCTCACCCCGATGCACGTCCATCCCACATCAAAGGAGTCTACAGACGGGGACACGTCTCCTCTTTCTCCAGTGCTACACACAGCGGTGCTGCAAGCTTCCTCACGTAGGGACCTGCAAGTCCCAGCTTGCAGAAGTTAAGGTGCATCAAACATGGCCACACATATGCCCCCTTCCTTCCTGTTGCTGTGCTTACCTGGAGAGTGGTCCCCATCCTGTGGCCTCTCCTGACTCCCTTCTGCATGTTAGGGGAAGCCCCATCTCCCCCCCAGCAGCCCAGAGGCTGTGGAGTTCAGGTCTGGGCTGCGTCCCAGCCATGGTGCCCAGCATGCAGAGAAGAGCCTGGGGCAGCTGGAACTTCACGTTCAATCCTCAGATGGTAAAACAAAGCATGAAAGCCCCTGCTCCTTCCCCAGAGCCCTGGGCTGATTCCTACTCTGTGTCCTTTCCTGCCTCGGGGGCATGGGCCAGACTTGCAATACCATTGAGCCAAGACCAGTTTCCTTAGGCGCAAGGACAGAGGAGCTCCCAGCAGCTGGGAGCACAGAGCTAACCCAGGCGAAACTTCTCCAGATCCTGCTCTGCCCTCACCCCCTAGAGTGCACCCCCTCCACCCATGGCCTAGTGTATGCTGGGCCTGTGTGAACTGAGTGGAAGGGTCTCAGCCCAGTTCCTACTGGAGAGGCGTCCACACCAGTAAAACCACGCGCACCAGTGGCAGTCTCTGCAGAGAGGCGACAGGTTGAACCGGCCATGGGGCCTGTCTTGCTCCAGGTCAAGGATGAGGCCAGTTGGTGGAGCGAGGAGCGGACGGGGAGAAGAAACTTGTGCTGCCGCTGCCCCTCCAGGATCTCTCATGCCTGGAGAATCCGCTCAGGACAGAGGAAACAAAACTGGGACTGGGAATGCAGCTCCTGTGAAACATCCAGCAGAATGGGCCCTGCCCCGGTTCAGAAGGACGGGGGGTACTGGCCCCAGAACACGTCCGTCGGATCTCAGAGCACCTGGCAAAGGAAGGTCTATCGTCACTCCCACTTCACAGAGGGTGACACTGGAGCATCGCTCGGGGACGTGACTCACCCAAAGCTCCCCTGCTCCTGGAACCTGTGAAAGGCCGAGTTTGAACCCCCCGGAGAACAGTCGTAGTGACGAGGAGCAGGGGATTTTCTCCCTGTGATGATTTCTCATTGGGTGCCGGGAGGTTTGGGGTCAGTGGCCCAGGGGCAGCGTTTGCCTGCGATGAGTGCTCCAACGTTTGTCAGCCAGCTTGTCTCATTAAAGACGATGAGGCCCATAACATGCTGCAATACAGCTTCTGACTCCTGGGCAGGGCACACAACATAACCAGCCACAATGGAGAGAGAGGGGCTAGACCAGGGGTTGGCAACCTTTCAGAAGTGCTGTGCCGAGTCTTCATTTATTCACTCTAACTTAAGGCCAGTAATACATTTTAACGCTTTTAGAAGGTCTCTTTCTATAAGTCTATAATATATAAACTAAACTATTGTATGTAAAGTAAATAAGGTTTTTAAAATGTTTAAAAAGCTTCATTTAAAATTAAATTAAAAGGCAGAGCCCCCCGGACCGTTGGCCAGTACCTGGGCAGTGTGAGTGCCACTGAAAATCAGCTTGCATGCCGCCTTCGGCACGCCTGCCATAGGTTAAAAATATAAATATATGGAGATATAAATATCTCCTAGAACTGGAAGGGACCCTGAAAGGTCATTGAGTCCAGCCCCCTGCCTTCACTAGCAGAACCAAGTACTGATTTTGCCCCAGATCCCTAAGTGGCCCCCTCAAGGATTGAACTCACAACCCTGGGTATAGCAGGCCAATGCTCAAACGACTCAGGCCAGTGACGGGAAGGCCAGGGGATCTCTGCAGGCGTGTGAAGGAGGAATTCGGCTCTGGCAGGCTGTGAGGGGTGATCTGTAGAGCACAAGGAATCCCAGGCAGTCCACGCCCAAAGCGCTATCTCAGAAGGAAACTTGGACCAAGACCAGGCCGGATTTGGCAGATATTACAGCACCCTGGAGGGCCAGGAGGAATCTTGTGTTACCCTGGCAAGAAGCTGCGTTGCTCTCTCAGAGGCTGGATGAGTTGCAGCTGTTCCTAGCCGCGGACAAATGTTCCTCGATGCTGAGAAACTCCACTTGAGCTCCCAGCAGGACGTGGGGCCTGGACGTCGGCTCTGGGCCCATGTGGCACAGACTCCGTCTCTCCTCTGGAGGAGGCGCCTGTCCCATACCTGCTGGGGGGGACAGGGCTAGGCCAGAGCGTGGCATTGCCTCCCAGGCGGGGTGCTGCTCTGCCCATGGGTGCCCCACAGGGTGGGGCGTGGGGGTTGCCAGCGCTGTGGGTGGGGCCAGACGATGCTCCTCACTCTGAACAGCCAACCCCGGAAATGCAGCATTTCGCCCTGCGGGTCTGTGTGGGGCTTGGACTCAGCCACCAGGGAGACAGGGGTCCTTTGGGGGGCGGGGGGAGCTGTGTTGGGATCAGAGTGACCCCAGGGTGATTGGTGACCCCCTCTGGGCAGGGGCTTCTTGGAGGGAGGCCCTCATCCACGCAGCGGGTCTGCATGCCGGCAGGATGCAGCTGGAGGACACGCGGGGAATCTGAACACCTTACACTCGGCAGTGGCGAAGCACCGGCTGGATTTCAGGGTCTCTGGCTTTTCTCCCTTGGCCTTCGCAGTGCTTGGTCGTGACCAAGGAGCAGCTGCACGTACAGACATTGCAGCCCTCTGGCACACACGCCAGGCTCCTGGGGACGTGGGCAGAGCCACGCCCCATGGCCTGGCCGAAGGAAGGCCTGGGCACAGCGCGCTCTCCATCACGGGGGTGTTTGAGCAGAACGAAAAGTTCCAACGGGTCATTTTCTGTCGATGAAACCCAGGCCCCGTCCGTCACTGGGTCGGTTCCCTAGTCACTCGCTTCCCCTCGCTGTGCCCAATGGATCCAGGCCAGGCCGTGTGGGTCTGAGAGGGGTAGGAAGCTAGAGGCCGGGCTCGGGGCTGGGAAGTAGACAGACATTCTGGGGGGGTACCATGCTGGGTGCTCAGTGGCTGGGGTGTATGGGCAAAGCTGGTCCCTGGGGTGGTGCGGTGGTGCCAGCTGGGGATGGGGACAGGGCGGCATGGTGGTGGAGTGGGTGAGGCGCTTTGGGGACTGGCTGCGGGGAGAGCAGGAGGCATTTCTGGACATCAGCCCCTTGTCCTGGCAGCAGTTGGTTGTTTTCTGATCAGAATCTCTCGGAGGAGAGAGGAGCGCCCCCACCCCACCGCACCCCCCACCTCCTGCAGCTTGGCCGGGAAGGACATCTGGGGAGGTCTCTTCAATAAGACTGGAAGAAGCTGCTGCCCAGTGACTCTCAGGGCCTCCCCTCCCCCTCCTATTTTCCATGTGGAAACTTCCCAGGGCAGAACTCTTACTGGGACGTTTCCAAGAAAAGACATTTTTGAAGCTGAAGCCAGATTCCCTGGCGTGGTCCAGAAAGGCTCTCACACAAGGGACTCCGGACCAGGCGTGTTTAGCAAAGTCGTTTTCTAAGCCCTGTTTCTGTGCGCATGTTCATTCCCCTTTGGAGCAGCTCTCACAAGGCCCCAGGGCCAGGATGCCCCTCAAACTCTGCTCCTCGGTAGGGGCAGGCAGCAAGCCCGGGCTCTGAACGCAGGGCCAGAGAGCGAGGGGCCTGGGCGGAGGAAGAGGAGGCTGCAAAGCATCTGCATCCTCAAAGGCCCCTCGCCAGGACGATGCTGCTGATTATTTTGGCTTTGTGGTGGGCTAGCGGCTTGAGACCCAAGTCGGATCAGCACCAGTCACCGCACAGAGACTGTCATGACCCAAGGAGCTCAGAAGCTGTTCTCTGCAGTGAAGGGGGGAGATGTTGGGTACAGCTGGAGGACAGGGTCTGCTTCTCCTCTCATGCCGTCAGTTTCACAGTCTGACTGCTGTGGGGCTGCTGGCCATGAGAAGCCCCAGGGCCCGTCGTTCCCGGGGGACTGTCACAGGGTGGCCGGTCCCTTTAACTGAAGCGGGCCCAGCTCCCCTCGGCCTGCACAGGTGCATCCCAGGTTGAGCTGATGAAGAGGGCAGGGCAGCATCTGGGACTAATAAATAGAGGAAGGCAACTTTGACAGGGGAGAAGGGCCTGGGGGTGGGAAAGGGCAGCGGCAGGAGTGGAGCTGGCTCCGGGGAGGCAGCCTGCCCTGGGGCTAGTGCTCCTGAAAAGGAAAGGGGATCTGAGTGGGAGAGCCAGGCCTGGGCGGCTGAAATGGGCTGAGGGCTGGGAGGCCGGCGGCAGGTAGAAAGGCCTGGGAGTTCCTGCAGAGACAGAGCAGGCCTGGGACTGGAGTGACCAGAGGGAGCCCAGGCTGGGCTGAGGGGAGAGGCTGAGCAGAGCTGTGCGGAAGCTGGAAGCCAGGCGGACCTTGGGGAGCAAGGGCCGTGCCCGTCTGGGGTGCAAGACTCCTGGGTTTAATTTGGGCTCCCTGTTAATAAACCGGAGCCTGAGACGTGGGGGCGGCTGTTTGACACATGTTCCTGGTGCGGGGTTACTGAGGAGCCCTGAGAACAGACCTGATGCAGAGATGCAGCAGGGCCCCAGGCTGTGGGGGACACTCTGGAAGTGGCGACAGAACAGGGACAAACAGCCCCGTGTAAATGCATTCAGACAGTTCCCACACCTTCCCCGGGCTCAGCATCCCCATTCAAACCAGGCGGCCACCCCAGCTCTGCTCCCATTGTTTCTGGCCCGGTTGGCCTGAGGCTCAAGGTGTGACAGGGTCCCAGGAGTTGCACAGGGCCATGGGCTCTGGGACTTAAAACTGTCTGATGGGAATGTGGAAGCCAAAATTGCCCTGTCAGACCCACCCGGACGATATCCCTGTGCTCCCTCTGTGTGCGGAGCCATGGGTGGCCGGAGAGCACCATGGTGGAGCTGGGATTCCTCCGTCTGCGCAACGGGTGGGCTCTTGTGCTAGTTGGAGGGACATGGGACACACGTGTTCTCTGCGTTCTGTGGTGAGCAAGAGGAGGGACATGGAACACACACGTGTTCTCTGCGTTCTGTGGTGAGCACGAGGAGGGACACGGGACACATGCGTGTTCTCTGCATTCTGTGGTGAGCACGAGGAGGGACATGGGACACATGTGTGTTCTCTGCATTCCGTGGTGAGCACGAGGAGGGACACACGTGTGTTCTCTGCATTCCATGGTGAGCACGA